TTATGAAGGAAATTATTCACTCGGGTCAAATAGATATTTCAATCATGGTATGGATCAATTCATAAGTTATATGATTTATTTTAATTTAACCGATATTTCATCTGAGTAATTAGTTTTAAAACTAAATCGTGCATGTTCTGTTATATTATGTAGTACTTTGATGAATTCAAGTGTGGTACTTACTCAAAAGCAGGATTGGAAGAAATTAAGGAGGAATGGTGTCAATACATTCTTGAGTTGAGAATTGTATAAGGTATAATAATATTTCTGGAAGTCATATGTATTTGTAAAGTTATCGGTTTTGTAATTATATGTAAATTGACTGTATTTGTGAAGTTGTTCTGATGATCGGCTTGTGTGAATTATATATAAGCAAGTTTATGTGAATTACAATGATTATGGCCAAAGTGTTGAATTACAATGTATATATAAGGTCAAAGTGTTGAATTATAATGTATATATAAGGCCAAAGTGTTGAATTAAAGGCCTAAATTATAAGCAGGTGAATGTAATTGTTATAAGTAGGTTTATCAAAAATAATATAAAAAAGTGATTATTTTAAAACAAAATTTAAAAACGTGAAGAATAACTTTTAAATAAAAGCGCTGCTAAAGGGGGGGCATAGAGAGCGCTCAAAAAAGCGCTGCTATAAGGGGGGAGGGGGGAGAATAGGCAGCGCTTTTGAAAAGCGCTGCTAAAGGGGGGGGGGGGGGGGAATAGGTAGTGCTTTTCAAAAGTGTTGCTAAAGGGGGGGGGGGGGGAATAGGTATTGCTTTTCAAAAGCGTTGCTAAAGGGGGGGGAATAGGCAGTGCTTCTGAAAAGCGCTGCTGTATGGGGGGGAATAGGCAGTGATTTTCAAAAGCGCTTCTAGGGGGGAAGCGCTGCTAAAGGGGGGAAAACGCTGTTAAAAGTGCTGCTAAAGGAGGCCTATAGCATCGCTTTTTCCATAAAAAAGCACTGCCTTTACCTTTAGCAGTTCCATTTTAGGCAGCGCTTTTAACTGCTGCTAAAGGCCAAAAAAAACACTGCTAAAGGTCTTATTTGGCATAGTGAATGCCACCCGTCTACACCTCACAATAGCCAAGAACTATGTCCAAAAACCTGAGTTATGGAAACAAAATAACATCTAACTTTAAGGAAGAAAAAGAGGGCCTCACATCTGCTGATATTGAACTTCCCACGCATCTCCCAATCATTCGAAACCTCACGAACAACCTTGTAACCTCTCTCACCACTTTTATCTCTCTCCACCTCGGCCGACAACCATGCTCACCCCTCATTCTCGCTGCCGGTGATGGTGCAAATGCTCCATCCTTGTTTCATTCTTCTGCCCTTAATAAATGCAGACCATCATCATTTTGACCACACCATATCACACACCTTCTCATACCTTCAAACAATTACAAACAAAGCTCCTCCAATCTTCTTCGACATAGTCGATCTAGCTCCCTAACATCATTTCGTCATTCAAATAAAACTATAATCGGTTCGACAACTTCAGCGAAGCAACCATCACTCCACAACCACCGCGTGACCGCCAACGCAACTCCCACCTCCAAACTGCAACACAACATCATCACCAACACATTTACAACATCAACAGTAACAACAAAAATTCCTTCCAAAATTCATAACCACTGCCACGATATTCCCTACACACTCTGCGACGCTGCCGCATAAAAGAAAGGTAGAATAATCGCAAGCATCGAGTAAGAATTAATTTGAATTTGAGCGAGGATGATGTTTTTTTCACGATTTCACATATATTGTTTTTCGTTGGTTTTATTATGCATGAGGCAGTTCTTGTTTTTTCGTTTTGTTTGTTCAGCGTGTGAGGTAGGGTTCCTTGCCCTTTTCTTTTGTTTTAGTCAATCCGGGCTCGGGTCAAAGGACTCGATCCGTCCAGTCTGGGCCTTCTTTTTCTAATGCTATTCACATCTCATCTTTTGTTTGTCACCCCACTTTGTTTATTAATTAGTATTTTAATTAGTTTTTTTAGTTAGTTTTAGTTATTTGGTATTTTAATTATAATTTAGTTATTTAGTTTTAGTTTATTAATTTTAGTTAATTTAGTTTGTTGGTTTTAGTTAATTAATTTTAATTAATTAGAAATTAGTTTAGTTAAATTTTTTTAGCATATTAATTAGGTTAATTATTATTTTAAATTAGAAATTAGTAGTTAGATTTTTTTAGCTTATTAATTAGGTTAATTATTATTTTAAATTATAAATTAGTTTGATTAGATTTTTTAGCTTATTAATTAGTTCAGTTAGTTATTTTTTATTATTAGAAATTATTTTTAATGATATTTTAGTTTAATTAGGTTCTTAGATTAATATTGACAATCCTTGTTTTCTTTTTGGTGAATTCTTGATGTTTAACTTCAGATTTAATTCTTGATGCATTTGGCTGAGACTGAGTCTCAATTTTGATGCCTAATTCATTTAACGATCTCCCACCGTTCCAAAGGAAAAGATCATACTTGTTGACTGCCATTTACCCTTTATCTTAGTCTTAGGATTATAGTTGTCGTACTGTGTGTGTATGATCTGTCACAGACACTTCCTCCCTCTAACCTAACCTTAGGTTTAGAGTCTCCGCACTCTATGTAGGTGTCTCATCGCAGACATTTACTTTTCATTTGGAACTTTAACCAGAGTCAAAAGTTACTCACCCTTATTAAGGAGATCTATGATTGCTCTGATTCCATCCACCTCAGGATACGTAGGCACGAGATGCAATGTCTTGGCGAACATACTTTATACATACTTAGTGTATATACCTTAGGTCTTTACTTTAGCATAGTTCCCTTAGCAAGCACCTTTAGCATAACACAAATACTAACAAGAGGTTTCTGTAGAGTACTACAGATACTTAGGATGCTAACCCCTTCCCTATGTATAACCAACTTCTGAACCTTAGATCTCTTAGCTGGTTGTTACATAGCGCACTTAGGATTTTCTTCGATCTTTACCCTTTCCTTTGGATAAATCAAAGTTTGGTGGTGAACTTCATGATTGCTGGATCATGTAAGTTATTGAACTAGTGGGAATCGACCATAACCGGTAAAAACTAACGACAGAAGGTTTTGGAAAATTGGCAGTTTAAATGCTTTCTTTTTTTCCTTAGATAAAATGACTTTGTTTTGATAATTTTTAAAAAATAAGACTATAATATAAGTAGACTTTGTTCAAAACTTATTTGGAACAACTTTGTTTCCTTGGAATTAAATTCATTAGACACTGCATTTATTTTGTTATTCATTTTATGTTGCAGTTAGACTTTGTTCAATATTTATTTGGATTTGTATTTTGCACTATGTTGTTATATGTGATGATTTTGTTTAGAACTTGAATTTAAAAAATAAACCTGTGAAATTATGACATTTTGAAATTTTAAAACTTTTTGTGTTATGATTTTTTAGAGACAGAGTCATTAAGTTCAATCAGTCTAATACATATATAGTTTTTTAATAGATATTACTTTATTCAACTGAATTATCCAGTTTAATTTGATTTATTCATGCAGTTTGACAGGTGACCTAATGGTCGAACCAATGAACATGTGATCTAATACCCTCGTTAATTTAATGAGTGATTTAATTTTTAAAATATTGATCTGGACCATTTATTTTTTCAAATGATAATGTATAATTCGTTTTATTATCTAACATTTTTTCTTTGTCTCTCTCCTTTGTTCGAAATAGAATATTCTTTAAAGACATATCCAAACCTGCTTATTTGATTTTAGAACCTTTTGTTAAATGATAAAAAATATTTATTTCTTGATGTCACTATTCTAATGTCATCTAAGACACGAATATCTTTATTCTAAACTCTTGAAATTCAATGGATCGTTGTTTTTCATCGGAGCATCGTCTAATACCGAAATCAGTTTGTCAGCCTATCTTCTAAAGTTTGACCAGATAGAAATATTTATTTTTCTATTTTTTATAGTGTAATAATGTAAGTAATATATTAATACTTTTAAATCAATATTTTAAAAAAAATTACATATTAATATTTATAAACAATATTCTATAGAAAAATACTCTAAAATAAAGAGAGGAGAATAGAAAGGTTTGTTATATATATTTATTAAGGGTGTGAATAGAAATGCATTACTTTCTCGACCCATCTTTATTCTCAATTTAATTAGAAATCATGTAAGCCCCACCATTTTTCCTCTCTACTTTGTCCTTTTCTCTTCCGTACAAATGAAAGACCACATTTTCTTATCTTATCTTATCTTTTTCTTTCTCTATTTTCCTCTACGAATCTTTTGTACCTAACAACAAGTACCAAGTGGTGGACCTTTTTATGACTCAATATGTACTAGAAAATATTTTGGAGTAATATAATATAATGCGATATCATTATTTCTCAAGTAAACAACTCAAACTAAAAAAAGAAGGAAAAAAAAAACTAACCACTCATTAATCAATATGATCTTCTAATAGTTTACATAATAATATAATAGATATAGATTTTCATCAACAAAAGAAGAAAAAGTACAGAATCTTGAAAACAATATCTTATCACATGGATATGCTTTAAAATGTGATATCCTTATCACAAACATAAAGTGACAATAAAGTCGTTAACAACATGTGTTTGGTCAAGTGGTATAAGAACCTAAAATGCTTCTTAAATAAATAGTCAATTGACTATTACTAACTCATATGAAAAAACTCGTATGGACAATAATAGATAGTAACCACTACAAAATCTAGGTTATATCATATTCAGATAAATAAAATAAAATAAAATAAAAAAGCAACAAAGTTAAAGTTCACACAGAATGATAAGATTGAGATCATATAAATCAATTAAAAAAAAAGGATAAAAAACATTTGTTAAAGCACTAAACCTTATCATTAGATTATTATTATTATTTATTATTATTATATTAAACCGCAATTGTAACTCAAGTTGAGCAATATATAGAAAGCCTCAGAAACAAAACACAAACATATGACTTAAAAAAATAAACAAAAAGAATGAAATTTGTGGTGAGTGTTTACTTTGTACTATGTTTTGCTTCTTCCCTTCTCATTGTAATGGCTTTAGTACAAAGCACACATAATATGTTTGGAAGTGATGAATACCATGTTCGTGTGGTTAATGGATTCACTGATAATTCTTCTGTGCCTTTAGTCATTTGGTGTTCATCTGAGGAAATGGATCTTGGAGGTCGTGCTTTGCAAGAACATGATGAGTTTAGCTGGATTATGAGGCCCAATTTTTGGAGTAGCAACTATATGAAGTGTACAATGAAATGGGATGGGACAAGGAAGAGTTTTGATGCTTTTAAGGCTTCTAGGGACACACAACGTTGTGGATTACTTAGGTTGTGTTCTTGGAGAGTTACACAAGATGGGTTTTATTTTAGTAATGATGAAGTGAATTGGAGAAAGGATTTCATATGGTGAATGAGTGTGTGTGTGTGTGTGATATGTGATGCCAAGGTTTTCTCCTAGCTTGGATTCACTAAACCATGTATACTAGTTTTGGCTATATGTTTAATTAAGATGTGAGGAATTAATTTTGCATAATTATAAGAGGGTGTATGCTTTGTAAGATAACAATACCTATTATGTGTTGACTCATATATAATAGGAAAAATATAGGCCCAAACGGTTTTGGAGTTTGGGCCCAAAATCCAAAACTGTTCTTAATTTCCGGCCCAAATTCCTACCAGTTAGTTTTCGGTTTTCACGGGTTCAATTTAAATCAGATTCGGTTAGTAAAATCAATTTTTTTTCTGGATTGTTAACCCATTTAAAAATTTAAGTCCAAAACATAATTTTATTTGTTTATGTTGGACTATAAATATATCATACCCAAAACACAATCACTTTTATTTTTTATTTTAAAAAATTATTAATTTTTATGTTGAAAAATTATTAATAAATAACTGACTTAATTTCATAATATATACAAAGAATTGAGTTATTTAAAGCAATTTAATTCTTAAAAATTGAATTACCATTGGTTACACTTTTAAATGAAATTAGATACTAAATTATCCAAACCCTTTATCTATACACATCAAAAAAAAATTCTAACAAGGAACATAAGAGAATTTTACATATAGAACCTTATTCATAGTTTTAATTCTTCCTTATAAATAAATCAGAACAATTTAATCATTCATATCATCTTCCAGAAAAAAAAAATTAATGGTCAGCTATGTTCACTAAACATCATGCTTTACTTTTTAGAAGACTACCTAATAAATTATGGAAGAATTCTGTCTCTTTCACATAACAGAAATTGCCAATATATACACTGTACAACTTTTGTTTCATATCAGGAGCTTTAAACAATTTCCTATTTTATCTCCTTAGAATATGCCTACAAATAACGTAATTAATGGTACAACAAATCGCCGAAACATATTTTGTTTCCTTATTACCCCCCCCCCCCCCCCCCCCCCTTCAAGTTGGTGCATGTGGACTCCAAATGCCCAACTTGCCAAGCAAGGAATGAAACTGAGCGCGACCCAAGGCTTTTGTAAAAGTATCTGCAAGTTGTGCATGAGTGGGAACATAAGACGGTTGCAAGGTGTGACGAACAATCTCATCACGGATGAAGTGACAATCCGCGTCAATATGCTTAGTACGCTCATGAAAGACGGGATTCTTTGCAATGTGTAGCGCAGCTTGACTGTCGCAGTAGAGTTGTATAGGCATCGAATGACTGATCCCAAGGCTAGAAAGAACTCCCTTGACCCACTTCAGTTCACACGTGGTACTAGCCATCGACCGATACTCAGCTTCAGTGGACGAACGCACTACTGTATGTTGTTTTTTGGTTTTCCAAGAAATTGGAGAGTTACCCAAGAAAACAATTCATCTCGTAAGAGACCTACGAGTAAGAGGACAAGTAGCCCAGTCAGAGTCACACCATCCATACAGTTATAGGTCACAATCATTGTCCAAGAGGACTCCTTGTCCGGGGTTTCCTTTGAGGTATCTAACTACTCGCAGAGCAGCATCCCAATGCTCAGTTCGCGGTTGTTGCATGAACTGTGACAACACATGGACACAATATGACAATTCAGGTCGTGTAAAGCAGAGATAAATGAGACGAACCACCAACCTGCGATAATGATCGGGATCAGGAAGAAGCTCGCTATTAGAGAGGCTAAGATGATGATTTTGTTCAAGGGGAGTACTCGCAGGTTTTGCACCAAGTAAACCAACTTCACTAATAATATCTAGAGCATATTTTCTCTGACAAAGAAACACACCTTTAGGGGATCTTGCAACTTCCACCCCTAAGAAATATTTTAATTTTCCCAGGTCTTTCATATGAAAGCATCTTCTCAAGTAGTCTTTGAAACATTGTATCGAGTCGTGATCATTCCCACATATAATCAAATCATCAACGTACACTAGTACCACCAGCTGAATGTCTTTATCTTGTAATGTAAACAAAGAGTAGTCTGAGTATGATCGCACAAAGACGTAATCTTTGAGAGCCGAAGACAACCTTGCAAACCAACAATGCAGGGCTTTCTTTAACCCATACAATGATTTTTGAAGCTTACAAACCATACCTGGCTGAGAGGAGTGAAAGCCGGGGGGAAATTTCATGAAGACCTCTTCTTGTAAATCACCATGAAGAAACGCATCGTGTACGTCCATTTGGTGAAGCTTCCATCTTTTCGCTGCGGCGACTGCTAGAACAATTCGCACGATGACCATTTTTGCCACTGGTGTGAAGGTTTCGTTGTAGTCGATGCCTTCAACTTGATGATTTCCAAGTATAACTAGTCGAGCTTTAAACTGTTCTATGGTCCCATCGAAATGATACTTGATTTTATATACCCACTTGCATCCCAACGCCTTTTTATTCGTTGGTAAGGAACACACTTTCCATGTGTTATTATCTTCAAGAGCTTGTATTTCTTGTTGCACTGCTAAACGCCATCTGCTGGAAAATTTGTCACCCTTCCTTCCTTGATTATGTGCATAACAAAGAGATCCAAAAACTCTAAGATGTTCATAGGTAGGTGGCTTCCTATTCAACACCTCATAAGGGCATTTTCCATTTAACAATGGTGTTGGTGTTCTATTTATCAAATATCCAGTAGTTAAAATACATTCACCCCAAATAGAAATGGGAAGATTACCTTGAAATCTCAATGCCCAAGCCACATTGAGTATGTGCCTATGTTTCCATTCAACTCGTCCATTTTGTTGAGGCGTTCCGGTGCATGATATTTGAAACACGACTCCACGTTCATGGAATTGAGTTCGCAAACATGTAAATTCGGTTCCATTATCACTTTGAATCATTTTAACCTGCTTTTCATATTGTTTTTCTACTAATGCAATAAAATTCAACAAAGCACGAGGTGCTTCCCTTTTATCTAACAACAAGAAAATCTAAATTGCTCGAGAATAATCATCCACTATAGTTAAAAAATAATAAGCACCACATGAAGATGGAGTTTTATAAGGCCCCCACATGTCACAGTGAACTAACTCAAACACACATGCTGCATTATTATTGCTTAAAGGAAAGTTATCTCTAGTTTGCTTAGCCCTTTGGCAAACATCACATGCCTTATTTCCATAGTCATTATTCCTACTACTATTATTTGAAACCAACTTAGTAATCTTCAAAGAAGGATGTCCCATTCGCCTATGCCAAATATCAAGTGAGAGTCCACTATCAATTTTGAAAGCTTTCTCATTTCGTGTCCCTCTGAAGTAGTAGAGCCCATCTATTCGTTCACCCAATCCAATCAGCATCCTCGAAGTGCGGTCCTGCATCACACACAAAGAGTTAGAAAATTGCACTACACAGCTTGTCTCATCTATCAATTGGGTCACACATATCAAGTTACAACTCAATTTAGGCACATATAACACATTGCTTAATTTCAACCCTCCATCAAGAGTTGTCGTTCCCTTCTTCGTTACAACAAGTTTCTGTCCATCTGGCAAACCTACAGGACATCCCCGTACTTCCTTTAATTCCTGAAGCAATCTCAAATTTCTTATCATGTGATTTGACGCCCCTGTATCAATAACCCAAGCTTCTTTACCTGTCATTCTTTCACTAGGATTTCCCTTCTGACTATCCAGCATATTCACAAGAATTTGCCACTATTCTGTGTTCAGTCCGGCCAATCCTCCGTTGTCTACTTCTGCCGCTTCCTCAACTGTTCTTCTAATGGTTGCTTGGGCAACATTTTCTCGTACACCCATGCCTCTGCCGCGTCCAGAATTTGCATTGCGTCCCTGTTGTTGCCCTTTCATTCGAGCAACTGATTTTGTTTCATGGCGTGGCCTATCCCTCCACCAATCTGGATATCCGACAATTTGAAAACAACCCATGGTATCACGCCCTGTCCGATTGCAGTTTGAATAGACTATGCCTTTGTCTTTTGTGTCTCCGCGTCCTTTAGCCCTTCCACCGATCTGCACAGTTAGACCAACAATCTCTGTTCTTTCTTCCTTGGTCCTAGATATGGCCTTCGCGCGTTCTTCTTGTATCAAAGTAGCATATACTCGATTCAACGATGGCAGCGGATCAGTCGCAAGAAGGCTAGAGCGAGTCGTTCCGGACACCACATCATCCAATCCCATCAGGAACTGGTGCACTTTCTCTTCTTCCCTTTGTTTCTCTAATTTTGCCTTAATGATACATTTGCACCCTTCACATGTGCATGTTGGTATCTGATGGTAATTTCCCAGTTCATCCCATAATGTCTTGATTTTTCCATAGTAGTTCACCATGGACATTCCTTCTTGTTTACATTAAGCAAGTTCCAATTTCAGTTGTTGAATCCTTGGCCTATTCGCAACTGAGAATCGCTCTTTAATGTCGTCCTAAAGTTCCTTTGCGTTCTCCATATAGGAAATAGTAGAACGCAGAGAAGCTTCAATGGTGTTTAAGATCCAAGACACCACCATCGATTGGACGGTCCATCAATCCTCCATTTCTGGTGATTCTTCATTCGACTTCTTTACGGTTCCTTCAACAAACCCCCATTTACGTCGTGCACGTAACGAGGTCCTAATAGCTTTTGCCCATTCGTCATAATTTTCACCCCGAAGTTAAACTTGGGTGATTATGCTTCCTGGGTTGTCATTCGAATTCAAATCATACGGAGATGGCGTCTTCTTTACCACCTCAATTTTTTCCACATATTTTTTTCCATCAGGACCAAGCTCTGATGCCATAATAAATTATGGAAGAATTCTGTCTCTTTCACATAGCAGAAATTGCCAATATATACACGGTGCAACTTCTGTTTCATATCAGGAGCTTTAAACAATTTTCTATTTTATCTCCTTAGAATATGCCTACAAATAACGTAATTAATGGTACAGCAAATCACTTAGTTAATAATATACAATACAGAATATGACAGCTATCAATCAACTTAATGAAACATATTTTGTTTCCTTAT